ATAACACTCCAAAGCTCGGTGTCATCGTGAACATGACGAGGATCCAAGTTGTCGCGCAAGGTGCCTTCGAACATGGCGGGATCTTGAGGGATGATAGCAAGACGTCCACGAAGATCAGTCAACCCAATTGTAGACACATCGAGCCCATCAATACTAATTTTTGTTAGCCTAAAGAGCGGAGACAAAAGGTGAGAGCGATATGTTCTTACCTGATGTTTCCTTCAACGCCCTCGATAATCCGGAAGAGAGCCAGCGTGAGCGAACTCTTTCCGGCGCCCGTTCGGCCAACGACACCGATCTTCTCCTTAGGCTTGATGTTGAGACTAACATCCTTGAGCACAAGGTCAAGCCCAGGGCGATAGCGGGTGCTGTAGTTATTGAACTCCACTGCACCTTGAGCCGGCCAGCCGATGGCAGGGCGACGCTTGAAGATCACGTCGGGTGCCTCACTCGGTAGATTAGCGTACTCGAGAACTCGCTCAACGGACACGATGTTAGTCTCAACCTCGACAGTCTGGCGGACAATCCAGTTCAGAGACTGCGTGATCTGCAGAGCATATGACATGGCCAAACCGGCCATACCCGACGAAAGCTTAGTGCCAGTCGCAACGGCCATAATCGCAAGTCCCGCGGATGCAAGAATGATGATTGAACCAATGAACTCAAGTCGAACGGCGAGCCAGCGGTTGGCACTGATGGATGGGAAGTAAGCCCGGAGGTTAGCATCCATGCGCCATTCGTTCTCAAGGGCGAATCGATTCTCCTGCCGGTAGGCACGGATGGTCGAGATGCCGCCCAGAGATTCCTGGAAGTGAGCGTAGATTGGGCTTCGGGTGACGCTGTCCAAACGCTTCAATTCGCGGGATGTACTCAGATAGTATTTCTGGTAGCTGAGGTAGATATAACCCAAAGGGATGACGAATAGCAAGAAAGCTGGGGTGGCTGACGAAATGACAATCATGGTGAACACCGCACGGGCAGAGTTTGCGAACAACATATTGAAAGTGCGAGCAAGTACCTCATCGACTCTGTAAATGTCACTAGAGAAACGGTTGAGGATGCGGCCAGATGGTGTGGTTTCAAAGAAGCTCATGGGGGAGCGGAAGATAGCAAATGCCATCCGCTCATGAAGTTTTCTGGATGCTTCGATAGAGCAGAAGATCCACAGGATCAGGTTCTGCACAATGACCAAGAGTGATGATCCCAGGCCAAGCGCCAAGTAGACACCAATGAACTTTCCAACCTCAGCATTGCTTCCATTGGCTTCGTTCCACTCAGTCCAGCGCTTCAACCAGAAGTTGCCCACCACTTGAGCGGTCTGAGAAGCCATCATGGCAAACAAGTAAACCACGACTGCCACGATATTGCTATCCTTTGCGTATTGACCGTAAACACCCCATTTCACCTTGCCTTGCTCTGCAACTTCTTGGGTCTGCTTGCTCTTGAGAACGTTCTCCTCATCTCCCAGCTTGCGCCGGGGACCTTGCCAGCTCACAGTGCTTGCGCGACGCAAGGTGACGGTACTGGTCCGTCTACGGGCCTCACCGCCTCCTGCCTTGATGGGAATAAGGTCACCAAGTTGTTCCGCGTCCTCACTGTCCGATGTACCACCGTTCTGGATGATGGTGGTTGTGACTGAGCTTTCGGGGCTGGCAAGGTCATCAGAGCCACTGCCAGTACCTTCATCGTCTGAGTCAACCGTCGTAGAGCGGACGAGATTGGAAATCTCCCCCTTCATGGCCATCAACTGTTCATAAGTTCCTTTCTCGATGATGGTCTTGTCCCGCAGCAGGCCGATAAAGTCAGCTTCCTTCAGTACAGTAATTGCGTTTGTTGCAAGAATTCTGGTCTTGCCACTGAGGAGACCAGTTTTGCCGAGCACTCTGTTGATGATGTGACGTCCAACATGCTGATCGACTGCAGAGAGAATGTCGTCCAGGAGATAGATATCAGCACGAGCATAGACCGCTCTGGCGAGTGTCAGCCGTGCCTTTTGTCCCCCTGAAAGGGAAATGCCACGTTCTCCGACTTCGGTCTGATCACCGTCGGGCAAGTTCTTGAAGTCGTCGAGTAAAGCACAGGCTTCAATGGTGAGTTCATAGAATGAAGGGTCCCATCGGTGTCCAAAGACAATGTTTTCTCGGACACTGGCATTCATAACCCACGGCGCTTGGGCGACATATGCGATCCGACCACGTACAATCACCTCTCCCTGGTTCTTCCACAGATCACCAAGCAATGACTGGAGAAGAGAAGATTTTCCAGCGCCAACTCGTCCAACAATGCAGCTGAGCTCTCCCTTGCGTGCACTGAGATCGATGTTTTCCAGCACAGCCTCCCCGCTATGACGGTTCCAAGTAAACGAGGCATCGCGAACACGGACAGACTCGTCACCGGGTTGCGCCACGGGATCTTGGAGGAGAACAGCATCAGTCTGCAGCTCCTCTGCGGTTAGATATTCTATCAATCGCGTCACGGCCACGGAAGATTCGATAATGGCTGTGATGACCATAGGCAAGATAGAAAGTGGGAACGTGAGCAAATTGAACAACGTCAAGGCAGGGAACACAATCTCAGTAGTCAAAGGTTTATCGTTCGTCAACACGAAGACAGTGAATGTGGAGCAGGACACGAGGAAAGGGGTAGACTGCCAGGTGAAGTTGGCAACGGATTGAGTGGCTCCAATTTTGCGGAGAGTGTTCAGCTCGAGATCATTTCTGATATGGCTGAGTTTGTTCATGAAAGCCGTGTTCCAGGCGTAGAGCTTGATGCTCTTGATATTGTTCAGAATCTCTGTCATTAATCGGGTCCTCGAGTCCTTGTTCTTCATTTGGATGATCTGCAACTTCTTCATCATTCGTGCAATGATACCGTTCAAAGGAATCATAAAAATCATGACTCCGATACCAGCAAACATGCTCGGTCCAAGAAGTTGGTAAAGGGAGAGCATACACAGGGTGATTTGGAAAGGCGCAGAGATAAGCTGAGTGCCGAACTGGGTCAGATCGGCAATGCGCTGCTGATCAACTGCCATGTGGTTGACAATATCACCTGTCGTCTTTGCCGAGCGCCCTTCGTTTGATAGTTTTAAGGACTTGGAATAAATCATAGCAGTCAAGGCTGATTTTACTCTCATGCCAGTGTCAAAAGCACGCTGGAAATATTGATGGAGGAAACTTGTCTGGCAGACAGAAACAACAAACATGGACAAGGCGATGGCGACACCCCTGATGACAGGCTGCGGTTCCGGGCTTCGATACGAGTCGCTTCGATACGAGTCAATGAAGGCAATGAGAAGTCGTAACAGTTGCGGCTGCACGAAGGCAAGGATATCGCTTCCGAATTTGATTATCGCACCGCGCACATAGGGGGCGCCGAAAGCCTTGAAGAGCGCTGTCCACAGAGATGGCTTCTTTTTGTTGAGCTGTTCGTCCCAAGCCTCCTGCAGGGCATTGCCCGTGACTCGGGTGGTATCGCGTCTGCGGAGGTTCCAGAGGTCATCCTGGGTCAAAAAGTTTTTGTATCCATATTTCATCATCGGAGTCATCCAACCAAAGGTGAGAACCGAGAAAACATCGGCATAATTGTAGGGACACTCGTCCTCGTCTCCCAGTGCATCGTAGGCGCTTTGCTTCTTGGGCACGAAATATTCCAGCGCAAATTCAAATAGTGCTAGTCCCAAGCTAACATTGAAGCAGACAAAGTAAGGGAGTTGGTGGATATATTCCTTGCGCGCGACCAGGGACCGGAGTTTGATCGCATAGGCGATGATGAAGAAAAGCCAGTAAAATAGGACAACCCCATTGGGCTGTCTACTCCGCCAATGTTCCAAATACTGCACTGAAGTTATCACACCCAGCGAAATGATGGTCAGGACGGAAGACCAGAAGCGAAAATCGGCCCAGAAGCTTTTGGGGTCTGATTCGACTTTGATCGCAGCCTGGAGGCCGGTAACGATGATGAGAGCGGCGAGAACGGCCTATGACCAAATACCAGTCAGTACATTATCAATAATGTCCAAGAGTGTGCGATGGTGTGCGAGGGTCTCCGGCATGTACTCACCAACTTGGTGTAGAAATGCCAATTCTTCGATACAGGCTGCGGAATCCGCTTCCTCAGTAGCAACCACAAGGCACCCAGCCCACTCAGTGTACCCCAGACAGCCACTACGGCCACGATCACGTCAAGGAAGCATGGCGTCAGATCGAATCTCGATGAGCTGAGAGGGCCCCAGCCCTCGCTATCTGTGCAGAAAGGCTGTCGCCGGGAATCAACTGCCGATCCAAGGGAATGTAAGAGGTGCCCCGGGCGGGACGCCTCTAGGACCACCTGGGATTGGCCATCCAGCATCTTTTTCTTAGTAACTTCTTCCCAGTGTGCCTTCCTGTGCACAGGCAAGAAAAGATACAAAGTCGGGGAACTGCCTCGAAGAGAGAACGGGGGTGTTGGCTCACGGGTGCAAGCTGGGCTGCTTACAAAAGCAAGTACGGGCAGGTCCACTTTACAACGGGGAAATTCCCGAGGTCGGGGCTGCTTACCATGCTCATTCGTATTTGAAGTCTGACTAATTACACTATACATGTACACATGGAGACAGGGTTGTCTGGAGTTCTTGCATGAAACTTGCGTAACATAAATTAACTGCCTATGTAGATATGTCTCTCTGGATCACCTCATGTCCGAATATGAATTTTCCAAGACATTTTCACGTGACCCAGAACGACGTAATCCTCGGGGATAAGCGCACTAAGACCGATGCGGCTATTTCGGCTTATCGGTGTTGTATTCCAACTTTGGAAGCTTGGTGACTTCTAGAACTGTTCATAACGCTGGTCAATCGAAACGGTCAAGATTGACGTGTTTATCGTATATTGCATATATACTAGCAATAATATACAGTAATTCATATTCTTTTCTTCTCACGAATAAGCAGTTTTCGAATCATTATAGCAGAATATATTTCTTGGTTGGTGCAAGCTGTATAAAATCTTCGGACTTCTTCAACCATTTCCCATAGTAAATTCCTCAATGACTTTTGATATCTCTTCGTTCCCCGAGGTATGTGCATACTCAGCTGCACTACCCCAGCTTCCTCTTTTATATGGGTCTGCCCCATGCTCTAACAACCACTTAACCCGCTCAACTGCTCCGGCCATGACTGCATACACAATCGTGTAATGTGCGACCATGTGTCGTGACTCTTCTCTCTGATTAACATCAGCCCCACGATCAACCAGTAGTGCCATTACTGGAATCCTGCTAGTGTCAAATTCCCGGCTCGGTACCACACGCCCAGCATGCGGATTCGTACCAGGAGGACAAGCCCCTGCAGCATAGTGCAGTGGTATACCGTTTTGAATCCTAGCACCCGCATCTAAGATCATACGCACAGCCTCAACCCCTCCACGAACTGCAGCTGCCTCGAGTGCAGCACACGAGGAAGTATCTGAGCCACCATACCTGTCATGGGTGGTTTGCTGCACGCCAAGGTTGGGATTGGCTCCATGGTCTAGAAACCAACGAAGAAGAGGGGGGCTCTTAACAACCCGAGGGAGAAGGGTACTACCATAGTAACCTGGGGTGTTGGGAGTCCATCCATTCTGGGTAAAAAGCTCAAAGAGGACAATTTGTCGTTCCAAAGGTACAAAGAAGATATTGCTTGGAGTTTCGCGAACAATAGGTGCGCCACTATCGAGGAGATAACGAGCAACCTCAATATTGCCAGAGCGTAGAGCACGTGTAAGACCATGGTGAAGAAAGGCGGGTGTCAGATTATCAGATGAGACAATGGATTGAATGATGGAGAGGTGGCCGTGCTGGCAGGCGGATTCAAAGGGCTCGAAGAAGGCGGGAACTCGACCAACCGACCCAGGATTTTCACTGATGAAGGTGACATCAGCGGGCTCCAGTATGGGCAGATCATCATATTTTGATCCCATTATCCCTGACTGAGGTTGCATTTGCTGTTGTGAAGGAGTGTCACTGTTGCTGTTGCTGCTAATGTTTGGTCGTTGCTTAGCAGCCATCATCTGCATTTGGTGTCGGCGTGCATCAAGAATTAGCTGCTGTTGACACTTCTGTTGTAAAGACATGTTGCCCACAGTGATGGTAAATTTCGTCTTTAATATATTGGATTTTTGTCCAACTCGAGAGATCGACGAGGACGACTATTTTCAAAGAGACGCATGGGCCTTGCGATGCTAGTCATGTGATAGCCTATATAAACGGATTCGAACACCCACTGACAGATCAAGTTTATGAAAAGCCAACATTATGAGTTGATTGGCTATGTACGTGATTTGAGGATCAACAAGTCAATTCGTCAACCATTCCTCACTCTGAATGACTGAACTTCTATAAACTAAAACGAAAAGTCTACCAGATTTTTAATGATAGGGAGTGGTGTTTAGAACAATACTCAGATCTTATGGTATCTAAGCACAAGCAAACAAGCTTTGTTGTCATTGTCTCCAGCACGCAGCAACTCTGTATATAGCTCTTTCAACGTGATAGCCTAGTTCCCATCATATAATTAGCCCTTTGGGTATCAGTGACAATAGGAGCACACCTTGTCCTTCACCCTCACAAAGTCTTCTCCCGCCACTTCTTCTATGAGAATCAAAGGTATCAAATGGGAAAGCTACATTGTTCAAACGGCACCAGCAATACCATTGCTATTATCGAGTGAGACCTTATCAGCAAGTACCAACACTGGGAACATTGCTTCCTCCACAACACCACCACATACCTAGCTTGGGTAGCAAGTACACAGGTCTCTCTAGCTTAGCATTTACTATATTGCTACAGTTGAGGGAAGATAGCCGCCGCTACGGCGGGTGAGAAGTATTGACATCTTCTATGATCGCTGAGCCTGGCAGATCTCCCACAACACCCCTCATGACAGGAGTATCATACCATTGCCTAATAAATACTTCATCAGTTACACCCAATATCCAAAGCTCTGAAGCAGCACTGAATGTGTTCGCTGTGTCTTCGCACATTACAGTCTTCGACTCTACTCAAGTGAAAGGTGCTTAGAGTGAGATTGAATATCTCACATCTGGCATCCTTCGTCGCCCTCGGAATGTGATGCGAAGGAAAGAGAAGTTTAACGGGCTCTGTTGGGACCATCACAGCCACATCGTCCTGTCTCGACAAGAGATTTGAGCTAGTTTAAGATGACATCGATACGGATGATGCCGAAGCCATTAGCTACCAACACTCTGGAGGATCTCATTATTGACAATACCACTGTTTCCACAATAGCCTCCTCGCCCTCAACCACTGCTACCACTATTGGATACTCCGTCACTAAATTAACAACCACAGTTTCCAGCTTCACCTCAACAAGTGATGCTCAAATACTATGTTCTTCCGATACTTACCAAAGGTTAAGCTCCATGAGCATAGACCCTCTGGGTAGTGCCAGCATTGGAGTGATGGCCACGATTGAGCATTATGCATTGATCTCAGAGGGTATTACCACCATTCAGCCAGCTGAGAGTTATGGGACTGCTACAAGGAGTGGAGTCACAAGCCCAACACAGCCTGCGTCCAAGGCAAGTCTCTCTAGCGGCCAAGGTGAGTGAATGATGATCAGTTCGTTGACTGCATATGCTTTCCAGGACGCTTCTCCTCATTACGATAGTTATGTCCAGAGCTTGGCACCAATTTGGATTGACCAGCTTGGACCTGTGTCTGCGCAATGGTTTGAATACCCATCATGTGGTCACTCAGCTGTAGGGGTGAAGGGCATATACGGATGCACAGCGGTAATCATAGCATCCGAAAAGGGTGTGTACATTTCTCACATCTGGGAAAACCCTGTGTTCGTTGATCATGATTTCAATCCAACCGATGAAAAGTCATTCACAATAAATGCGTTCAATTCCCTCCGAGATGGAACAGAATATGCACAAAGTATAACAGGTCTGATTGGGACTGACCAAAATCCCGGTGTCTTGAATGCAATCTACGCACCCAAAGTCTTCGTCCTCACACCCTTCGCTACTGAATGGGATAGACAAAACTTTGGCATTTCCACCACACTCAGATATCAAATGCGTGTCCAAGAGCTCGCGCAACAGATAGTAAGCATTGTTCCCGGCTCTGGTGGCAATGGCATCATCCTGGGTTATACACGTACGAGTCGGCAGGCATCGAGTCAGGTGCCAGGCATTGCAGGAAGAGCCATTTTGGAGATTGACCCTTCTTACGCAAGGCTCACTACGCCGTATGACTCGAAATCTACGGGCCTCCAAATTGGTCGTTGGCGCTTGTGGGTAGAGGACCAGCTGATTACTTACCAAGACTTCTGGCTTCCCCATATCACAGCCCCTGGGGGCACTTCCCGACGAGACATTGGCTAACAAGACGTGGGTTACGCCAACCCGCATAGGAGCCACTCTTAGGTATTTTCGATTTTTTTCCCCAAGGTGTCGACTGTCCAATTTCAATTCGCATTCCACCATGCATCTTGAGGTCTCCGTTTTAGACCATCTCCCGAGACCTACCGTTTTTTATACTCCGGCCCTAGTAGCTCCGGTATCAATATCCCTTCAGATTCAAGGAATGTGGGTGAATTTAGAGGCTTACCGAAGCTTAGACATCTTCCACCTCGTAACCATCTATGAGAGCTCTCCATCGGATCCAGTCTCATCAACATTCAATCCCGGGAACCGGAATATTCAAATTTGGATAGCCTTCCTGGATAGGTTAGTGTTAATCCAGACTTGTGATCGCAGATAAAACTGAAAGGCGAATAAAATATGGGTAGATCATTGTACAACATACGATTTAGATATCATATAGATATATCCAGACGATGCAAATATTCGTGACGTCGGATATAGTCGCTAGTCTTCATGTCTATATCAATCATTCTTCGCATATTATACCCATACTGTAGATTACTTTTCATTTTGAAGTATTCAATCCAATCATTACCTTTAATCCAAACAATAAGAATACAAAACCGCTCAAACACCGACTTGACTGTTATCTTCCCGTCACTAAAACCATCGCCTCTGTAGAAAGAGAGACGGCAGTAGCAGATGTGACACGACGAGTGTAAGCGTTCTGTCTCAATGACCATCCGAACATTTATTCAGATATGACCAATCGGAATATGTAGAGGAGAAGCGTAGGGAAAAGAAGAAGTTAGGGCAAGTGTAAAAAATACGTCATATAATGTTGCCTCTTAGTATCAAATCACGTGATGACAACAGGTATTAGAAAGGCAAAAGGCGTATACAGCATAGATATATGTAGAAATATGGCTAGAGAAAAGAATAGTTGTCGCGAATGATGCTCTGAAAATAGTCAAATACAATACCGAGGATACGGGAGCCCATGGGTGTAATTTCCTAATCGGGAGGCCGACTCGTTGATATCTGCGAGCCCCACAAGCGTGGAATTACTCATGGAAAAAGAACATTCTCGAGGACCCATAGGAGGCTGAGTAAAGCTTCATAACATGACTCAAATCATTGCAGAATCAGCATCTAGCTATAAAGCGACGGCGAAGCGCATAAAGTCCACATAGTGCCCCATTGCTCTTAGGCGGTAAGAGCTCACTTATCAGCGTCATTGGAGGGGCACCGATCTCAATACACATTCTTCGCCCAGCCCACCATGGCCGACACGACTCACATGGAGGAGCTCTTGAAAAGACCTCTCTATGGTATGCCTTCCAAGCCCCATATGGTCGTTGATCCATTCCGCTGATCTCTCCAGTGTACGATCTGCCGCAAGAACTTCTTGCCAGCTTGACGGCCAAGCCCACAAGCCAACCTATCGCCGAACAAGACCGCGAACCCTCTTCGGAAGACCTCGAACAAGCGGCGCAGGACTCCGCAATCGCAACCTCCAACCTATGCTCCCTCTGCAGGGTCTCTTACAACAGTGTACAGGAACAACGCAGCCATGTCCGCTCGGACCATCACCGATATAACATCAAAGCCCAGCTGCGCGGAAATGCGCCTCTGGAGGAAGTCGAATTTGCGAAGGCTATCGGAGAGCTAGACGAGTCTATATCTGGGTCTGAGTCCTCGGAGACAGAGGAGGAGGATTCAGAGGGGGCCGCGGGCACAACACTGTCCGCCCTGCTGAAAAAGCAGGCCAAGCTGTCTCACCCGAATGAGGATCCGGAAATGACCGAGAGACCGATTACCCCAAAGCACCCCATATTCTGGTTGTCTAGCTCAGGATTGCCATCAAACAAGTCCCTAGGTGTCTACAGGGCCATTTTCTCAAATGAGGAGCAGGACGAGCCCGCTCACCTAGTTGATACTCTACGACAAAAGCAGCTGGCGCCTGTCAAAGCGCGCACTAACAAGGCAAGCAATGTGCAAGACCCCGCTGCTTCGGGCCCGCACATTTTCATGTGCATGATCGGCGGTGGCCACTTTGCGGCTATGTTGGTTTCGCTAGCACCAGAGATCCACAGAAAGCAGGGAGGAGTTGAAGACAGACAGGCTCGGGTCATTGCGCACAAAACATTCCACCGCTACACGACGCGGCGAAAACAAGGTGGCTCGCAGTCTGCCAGTGATGCGTCGCGCGGTGCTGCCCATTCGGCAGGTTCAAGTCTGCGCCGGTACAACGAGGCTGCACTTGAGAAGGATATCAGAGAGGTGTTGTCAGATTGGCGAGAGATGATTGACACAGCCGAACTGTTGTTCGTCCGAGCTACGGGAAAGACAAATCGAAAGACTCTTTTCGGTCAATATGACGGACAGGTCCTCAGGCAGAACGACCCCCGACTACGAGGGTTCCCCTTCAATACTCGGCGCGCGACCCAAGGGGAACTCATGAGGTCCTTCAAGGAGTTAACCCGAGTGAAAGTCAGCGAGGTGGACGAAGCCGCACTGGCTGCCGCTGAAGCCAAGCGGCGAGAGGAGGAATCAAAACCATCTACCCCTGTCCCAAAACCGCAACCACAGAAGCCGAAGCTCTCGAAAGAAGAGGAAGCTGCGTTATTGCACACATCCCAACTGCAGGCACTCATCCGCCGCTCAAAGGTTCCCGCCCTCATGTCCTATATCTCAAACAACTCCATACCTCCTTCTTTCACCTTTACGCCCGCCGACTCGTCACAAAATTTCCGCTGCCCCACACCCCTCCATCTCGCCGCAAATCTCAATGCACCAGCCGTAGTCACGGCCCTCCTCACAAAAGCCGGGTCTGACCCCACGGCAGTCAACAACGAAGGCAGAACCCCCTTTGAACTCACTGGCGACCGAGCGACGCGGGACGCCTTCCGCGTTGCTCGCCACGATCTCGGCGAGTCAAAATGGGACTGGGAATCAGCAAAGGTTCCATCAGCGGTCTCCAAAGCCGACGCTGAGAGCCGGGCTGAGAAAGAACGCAAAACCGCCGAGGAGGAAGAATCCGCCCGGCGCAAGGCTAGCTTGGATCGTCTAAAACGCGAAGAGGCTGAGAAGGCGGCGCAGCCGAGAACTACTAAATCCGGTGGTCGTACTGTGGGCGCTGTTGAGAAGTCTGCGGCCGAAAGGAGAGATGAGGAGACTAGAGGTATGACGCCGGAGATGAAGATGCGATTGGAGAGAGAGCGCAGAGCGAGAGCTGCAGAGGAGCGCTTCAAGCGAATGCAAGGTCGATGAGGTTTTGTTTGTATACCCTTTCAGCATTGAAGTTTTGGCGGCATGACTATCGCCATGAATATTTCATTCCTAAGTAGATATTGGCTCTGGGTTTGCCAAGGGCCAAAGAAAATATTATTTATCTTAGCATCTCTTTCTCTTCCTCTTTATTGTTTTATTTGCGCAGCAATAAGCTAAGGAGTCCACTACTTTCAAGTAAGTATGAAAGAGTCAAAGGTGTGGGAGCTAATAACACCAGTATCATCGGGGATAATCCTCGGCAAAGCGAGAAGTTCCTTCATCGCCACTCAACGACCATCCCTATGTAGGAAGCAACTTACACAGGCAAGAGTTCTTGATCCTTCAGGTATATGGCCCAAGACCCAGGGACAGGAGGGGGCGAGGGAAGGCAACAATTGCGCTTACTGGAACCACGCGGACAAGGATAGGAGAGGGCATCCGCTGTCCCTTGGGCACTACGAAGCCAGGGTCTCTATT